GGCGGACTTCCTGTCGAGTTTAGGGTATGGGTTCTTGAGGCTTTTTTGTGCGTCTGGTCATGGTAGATGTACCACAGAAATTTCGTACATGTCGGTCAAACAAGCGGCGGGGGCTGCTTCGTTAAAGGTCACTTCCTGTTGCCAGCAGGTGGCGCTATGACTGTGGGTGAATGTCGGCATGTAGATTTGTTCAGGGCGGGACTCTTGTCAAATGTGTAAAATTTCGTGCAGATCTGGGCATTTACAGCCAAGTTACTACAACTTCCTGTTTCATGGCGAATCTTCGACGCCACGGACACGCCCATCGACGAAAACGCGCAGATAGCACAACTTTACATCGTCAATGCCTTTAGAAGGCACAGCAGAAATTTGAAGTCGATCCGACTAAATCCCTAGGAGGAGTTCGTTAAAGTACGGAGTCTGTAAATCGTCCAAAAATGGCCGCCAAATTCAAAATGGCGGACCTCCTGTCGAGTTTAGGGTATGGGTTCTTGAGGCTTTTTTGTGCGTCTTGATATGATACACGTCCCCACCAAATTTCGTGCATGTAGGTTGAACGTGGACGAGGGGCTAATTTTTTCCAATTTTCTAGGTGGCGCTAGCGTGCCATTTTGCCCCGCCCATCCGCGAAACCCACAAAATATGAAATTTTTCACCAGTCCTGACATGCGTGCCAAATTTGGTGAGTTTTTGAGCATGTTGCGGCCCCGAAAATGGCACTTACTTTGCAGAAAAAAGAAAAAAAAAAAAAAAAAAAAATTAAAGCTGCAAGCAGCGATGGGCGGGCCCTCGCACCTGTAGCGCGTCGGGGTGTGAGGCGGCCGCGTTGCATATTCTGGAGCTCAGCCGGTGCGGCTGTGAATTTGCTACGCTTCATTAAAGGTCACTTCCTGTTGCCAGCAGGTGGCGCTATGACTGTTGGTGAATGTCGGCATGTAGGCTTGTTCAGGGCGGGACTCTTGTCAAATGTGTTAAATTTCGTTCAGATCTGGGCATTTACATCCAAGTTAATACAACTTCCTGTTTCATAGCGAATCATCAACGCCACGGACACGCCCATCGACGAAAATGCGTAAATAGCACAATTTTACATAATAAATGCCTTTAGAAGGCACAGCAGAAATTTGAAGTCGATCCGACTAAATCCCTAGGAGGAGTTAGTTAAAGTACGTAATGAGTAAATCATCCAAAAATGGCGGTAAAATTAGAAATGGCCGATTTCCTGTTGAGTTTAGGGCATCGCTCCAAGAGACTTTTCTGTGCGTCTGGATATGTTAGTTGTACCACAAAAATTTCGTACATGTCGGTCAAACATGCGGCGGGGGCTGCTTCGTTAAAGGTCACTTCCTGTTGCCACTAGGTGGCGCTATGACTGTGGGTAAATGTCGGCATGTAGATTTGTTCAGGACGGGACTCTTGTCAAATATGTAAAATTTCGTGTAGATCTGGGCATTTACAGCCAAGTTACAACAACTTCCTGTTTCATGGCGAATCATCGACGCCACGGACACGCCCATGGACGAAAACGCACAGATAGCACAACTTTACATCGTCAATGCCTTTAGAAGGCACAGCAGAAATGTGATGTCGATCCGACTAAAGCCCTAGGAGGAGTTAGTTAAAGTACGTAATGAGTAAATCATCCAAAAATGGCGGTAAAATTAGAAATGGCTGACTTCCTGTTGAGTTTAGGGCATCGCTCCAAGAGACTTTTCTGTGCGTCTGGACATGGTAGATGTACCACAGAAATTTCGTACATGTCGGTCAAACACGCGACGGGGGCTGCTTCGTTAAAAGTCACTTCCTCTTGCCACTAGGTGGCGCTATGAATGTGGGTGAATGTCAGCATGTAGATTTGTTCAGGGCGGGACTCTTGTCAAATGTGTAAAATTTTGTGTAGATCTGGGCATTTACAGCCAAGTTACTACAACTTCCTGTTTCATTGCGAATCATCGACGCCACGGACACGCCCATCGACGAAAACGCGCAGATAGCACAACTTTACATCGTCAATGCCTTTAGAAGGTACAGCAGAAATTTTAAGTTGATCCGACTAAATCCCTAGGAGGAGTTCGTTAAAGTACGGAGTCTGTAAATCGTCCCAAATCGGTCGCCAAATTGAAAATGGCGGACTTCCTGTCGAGTTTAGGGTATGGGTTCTTGAGGCTTTTTTGTGCGTCTGGTCATGGTAGATGTACCACAGAAATTTCGTACATGTCGGTCAAACAAGCGGCGGGGGCTGCTTCGTTAAAGGCCACTTCCTGTTGCCAGCAGGTGGCGCTATGACTGTGGGTGAATGTCGGCATGTAGATTTGTTCAGGGCGGGACTCTTGTCAAATGTGTAAAATTTCGTGCAGATCTGGGCATTTACAGCCAAGTTACTACAACTTCCTGTTTCATGGCGAATCTTCGACGCCACGGACACGCCCATCGACGAAAACGCGCAGATAGCACAACTTTACATCGTCAATGCCTTTAGAAGGCACAGCAGAAATTTTAAGTCGATCCGACTAAATCCCTAGGAGGAGTTCGTTAAAGTACGGAGTCTGTAAATCGTCCAAAAATGGCCGCCAAATTCAAAATGGCGGACCTCCTGTCGAGTTTAGGGTATGGGTTCTTGAGGCTTTTTTGTGCGTCTTGATATGATACACGTCCCCACCAAATTTCGTGCATGTAGGTTGAACGTGGACGAGGGGCTAATTTTTTCCAATTTTCTAGGTGGCGCTAGCGTGCCATTTTGCCCCGCCCATCCGCGAAACCCACAAAATATGAAATTTTTCACCAGTCCTGACATGCGTGCCAAATTTGGTGAGTTTTTGAGCATGTTGCGGCCCCGAAAATGGCACTTACTTTGCAGAAAAAAAAAATAAATAAAAAAAAAAAATAAAATAATAATAATCCTAACAGTTTCAATAGGGTCCTCGCACTGTTAGTGCTCGGGCCCTAATAAAAAATAATCCTAACAGTTTCAATAGGGTCCTCGCACTGTTAGTGCTCGGGCCCTAAATATACAAACAGTGAGATTGTGTTTTTTTTTTTTTTTTTTTGCAGTTTCACCAATAGATGTCGCCCTTGTGCCTTTGACCGCATTATCCGATAGAACAACAACGAAAAAACGTATCTCTAAGCGATCTTCCTTTTCTTCTCAAACAAACTAACTGCATCTTAAACAGCCCAAGTAAAAAAAAAAATTCCCGGGGAGAAACCCCCGGACCCCCGTTAAAATAAAAAAAGCCCTGGATCATTTGCACAACTAGCGACGCCCCTCTGGACATGCACACACGAAGCAAGGGCGCCTACAAAACTAACACTTTTATTTAAAACATTGTCTTACCTGCAAACGAGTATCATCCCACTGTCTCTTCTTTTTCCTTTTTTCCGCCTCCGACTCTTGGTGCCTTTTCGAGGCCATGTCTGATGTCGATCAGGTGTCTGCCAAATTTGACACTGATTGAGGAACAGACCACTGCGAGGTGGGGAAGGGGGGGCACCAGAGGGAGGCTGGCACACGAGATTCACCTTTTTCTTCACTAATTTGGTCTAGGCCTATATTACTTTTGTATTGCTTTTGTATATTAACATGCTTTAGACATATTTTATTTGTTATTTATACTAGTAGCCTATTGTGATGATTTTTCACGACCCAGATTTTTTGGTGCCCCCCCATGCACTTGGTGCCCTACGCGCAGTGCGTGATGTGCGTGTGCGGAGCACCGGCCCTGAATGTAGAAATAACCATTGACCAAGACTAATAAATGCTGTAGAAGTGTTGTTTATTGTTAGTTCATGTCGTTGAAGGGATAGTTCACCCAAACATGAAAATTCTGTCATTAATTACTCACCCTCATGTCATTCCAAATCCGTAAGACCTTTGTTCATCTTCAGAACACAAGTTAAGATATTTTTTGATGAAATCCGAGAGCTTTCTATCCCTCCATTGACACCTATGCAACTGACACTTTCAAAGCCCAGAAAGGTAGTAAAGACATTGTTAAAGTAGTCCATATGACTCATTCAACCTTAATTTTATAAAGTGTCAAAAAAAAAAAAAACGACTTTATTCAACAATTTCCGATGCACGTTCTCAAGAGCACTACGATGCATGCATGTGTTGCTGACACAAGAGCCGATGTTCAGACATAGAACCCAGAAGCGTTGCACAGAAGAGTTTCCTCAGCTCTTCCGGGTTCTATGTCCAAAAACCGTCTCCTGCGTCAGCACCACATCGTGTCATGATGCTCTCATGAACATGTACAAAGAGTGTTTTAATTATGCCTTTTATTCACATTTAAGCATTCATCACACACAAAAGTTGTGGTAAATGGAAAACTCAAGCATGTTACGCAGCACATTTGAGCTTCAGCAAGAACCAATGAGGTTTGTTCTCGCACGTCAAACATGTTTGGTTGAGCTTTTGTTTGTTTGCTGATCAATATGAATAAATGCCTAAAGTCCATCGGTTCATCATATATAGTGATCGAGTCTCTTCAGAAAATGTGGGAAAAACGTTCATTAGTTTTATGATTTCTTTTGAAGCGTCAACATCTCAGTTGTGTAGCTGTCAATGGAGGGACAGAAAGCTCTCAGATTTCATCAAAAAAGATTTTCATTTGTGCTCTGAAGATGAACAAAAGTCTTACTGGTTTGGAACGAAGTGAGGGTGAGTAATTAATGACAGAATTAAATTTTTGGGTAAACTAACCCTTCAACTATTGAAACCTTATTGTAAAGTTTTACCATTTATTTTTTTAGAATAAATAGAATTTTTTATATTAGGCTTTATATTTCTTAATATGTTTATAATTTTTATAATAATGATTCTCCAATCAACACAGAATATAACAAAAGAGTCAATGTGAGGCTGCATAATCAGACTGTGGTGATAATCATAAATGGTGTTTAGCAGAAAAGTTATTTATTTGTATGTTATATATTATCCAATTATCTCTAAAATAATATCTAGTGGTGTACAAATGCATTAAATGCTTAAGAGTCAAAACCTGGAAAAAGTATTTCTGGCGTAATGCATGATACTGTTAAAGTCGTAAACCTCCCCGAGCGAGTCCACATCATCTGGCTCCATCTTTTCGAAATTGTACTCCTGACCTGTAAAATGCAACATAAAAGGCTCCATCACACAAACACTTCCACTGAACTCCATGCACATATTATGACGTATTATTCTGGATATTAGATATACCCTAATACTTTACAATAACTCCATGCTATTAATAATTTTTTAAGCATGAGTATACAGTTAATCATTATTTATAAAGCATTAATAGACAATAAGCAGTTTATATATACAGCTATAAATGCCTTTTTCTTGATTTATAACCATATCTATAATGCATTTAATAATTGTATTTTCATACTTTGTTAATGATAAATTAATAATTTCTAAATGAAGTATAGCATTATTTACAAACCAGTTAGTTAAGAGTTGTCAGTCATTCATAAGATCACTTAGAAAGTGTAAGTAAGTGTAGTGAATTCAGGTAGTTATAAAGCATTTACTAGTGGTCAGTAAACTATTTTGTGAGCTCATCTAAAGTGAGGACTATTCATGCCTTGTAAAGCATTTATAAAGGAGATTTAAATGCACATCAGTCTTCTAAACAGTAAAGTGTAACAAACACAACACAGTGATACAGAACATAGAAATATTTAACAGCCTTTAAATCTCCTTTATAAATGCTTTACAAGGCATGAATAGTCCTCACTTTAGATGAGCTCTCGAACATAGTTAACTGACCACTACTAAATGCTTTATAACTATCCGAATTAACCCTGAATTACAGCATAAATACATGTTAATAAAGCATTTATTAACACACTAAGTAGCCATCACTATATGTCTAAACAATAAGATGTATGAATGTACATTTAAATAGTTTATTAATCATTTACTTACACGTTCTAAGTAATCTTATGAACCACTGACACCTCTTAAATAACTGGTTTATAAAAAATGCAATTCTTCATTTAGAAATGATTAATTGGTCATTAGTAAAGGATGAAAATACAATTATTAAACAAATTATAGATATGCTTTTAAATCAAGAAGAAATCATGTATAGCTGTATTTATAAACGGCTTATTAATGTCTATTAATGCTATATGAATGATGAATTAACTGTTTACTCATGCTTAACTAATAATTATTAGCGTGTAGTTATTATAAAGTGTTACCGTATAAGGGATATGAAGTGACAGGTAGCAAGTATAAGCAAACAGAAGTATGAGATGTCATTCCAGTTACCCAGAGGCTTAGATAGTTCTTGTACCTGGCTGGATGTTTTCTCGAAATATATTAACATGTTCATCCCGGTCAGGTCGTGTGTGCTCGTGCCAGAATCCAATGACATGTCCGAGTTCATGCACCACGATGCCAAACTTGTCGCAGTTCTTCCCGATAGATATGGCCTGTGCACCTCCACCCCTCCGCCCGACAAATGAGCAGCACCTGCAAAGAAGCCAACTTGGGGTTAGAAAACACTATTGAACATAATACTGTAGTAGATGCATTTGGTAAACAGAGTCAAACTTATGTTTGAATATTTACTTTTTTTCTCTTCTCAGGTTAAGCTACTATACCGTTTAAAATACATTTCTGTCATGACAACTTTTGGAGTGTTTAGCATGGTAATGGACAGACAATGTTGATATGTTTGGTCTTGTCAGAATAGATCTGCTACACTGCTGCTGCTGTGAGAAAGTAAAACATGCTGTTGCTGTACAATATAGCGTACATTAATTACCCGTAGCAGATCTATACAGGTGGAGCTGGGGAAGGTGGAGGGTTTCTGATGTGCGCTGCTACTGCTACAGCAAATGTTGACCAGTATTCGAAGGTTAAGCAGCAAGTTCATTGGCTTCTGATACAGAGGGAACCAATCTGTTCCCTATCAATAATGATGTGATTGCAAGCAGATCAGCCTGTGTCATATAGAGTTTCATGACAGAACTTTGTATTTACAGTATTACATTTTTTTTAATTTAAAATAAATTCTGTTCTTTTGAACTTTTTATTCATCAAATTATCCTGAAAAAAAAAATTATGATGGTTTCCACCAGTGTTGGGTAAGTAACTTTAAAAAATAATTAATTACTAGCTACTAATTTCATCTTCACCAGTGTAAGTGTAACTATTACATTACTTATTACTAATTACTTTCTAAATCTCAAATCAACCTCAACCAGTAGAACAATCTAAGGATAGACATGAAACGTCAATGAAATGTCTGCTTTTTTAATTCTTTCAAACAAATATGTAATTGAAAAAAATATTCTTCTTGTATTTAAAGGGAGGTTACATTAAAAAGAACGTCTCGGTTACGGATGTAACCCTCGTTCCCTGAGTAGGGAATGGAGACGTTACGTCAGAAGTGACGGAGAATGGGGGTTTCGCATGAAAGCCAATCCTCTTCGAGTATTTAACAACGAGCCAATGGCATGAAAATGCCTTGGGGCTGCGGAATTTGCATAGCGTATCTCCGCCCCACGCAGTGGGTATAAAAGGAGGAAGTGAACGCAACCGCAGTATGTCTTCGCTGAGGAGCTAAGGCTGAACTCCGGCGTCTACCCAGCGATACAGCTGAAGTGGCAGGGAGACGTAACGTCTCCGTTCCCTACTCAGGGAACGAGGGTTACATCCGTAACCGAGACGTTCCCTTTCGTAGTCACTTCGAGTTACGTCAGAAGTGACGGAGAATGGGGGTCAGTGCCATCACGCCATCTTCAAGCTGTCTTCCAGTGCCCTGCGAAAGTCTGGACCCCTGCACCTTACCTTTTTTTTAGGGATCCCACTTTGACACAGGATTACCAAGGTACACTGGGAAACATATCCCGGGAGGGACATGCTACCAGATGCCTACCGAAGGAGGACTTACAAATACACATATGGCCGCAAGGAACGCATATGGAGATCACTGGAGGACCAACCGCAGGTGGCTACTAGAATTTAACTCCAGGGGTGGCAGATGGCTTGCCAAGGGAAGACACATGCTCAGAGAGGCTTACAGTGGATAATACACATGAGACAGTTACCATAGGGAACCGTGCACATGGAGGCACCTAGCCAGCATCCAGAGCAACAGCAGTGGTGCCCGCATCATCGGTGCTGGAGGACTCAAGGTTTCAACGGAAGACACTGAGGAAATATCGCACTTATCCAATCCGAGGAGTGGAATGGCGAGCAAGCGAAGACACCTAAGCGGGTCCAGTACTGGCGGAAACGAGTACGTGAGAGGACACCGGCTCAATTCGCAGATTATAGAATCTGGCGAAGGTGTTTGGTGTCGCCCAGCCTGCAGCTCTGCAGATGTCTGTTAGCGAGGCGCCACGCGCTAGAGCCCAAGAGGAGGCCATACTCCGAGTGGAATGGGCCGTCACACCAAGGGGGCACGGACGGCCTTGCTGCTGGTAAGAAAAAGCAATGGCGTCCACTAACCAGTGAGACAGCCGTTGCTTTGAGAGAGCCCTTCCCTTCTGGCTCCCTCCATGACAGAAGAAGAGCTGGTCTGAGGTCCTGAACACCGCGTTCTGTCGACGTAGGTGTGGAGTGCACGTACTGGACAGAGCAGTGCAAGGCTGGGACTGCCTCCTCCAGGGGCAGCGCTTGCAGGTTCACCACCTGGTCCCGGAACGGAGTGGTAGGAACCTTGGGCATATATCCAGGCCGGGGTCTCAAGAACACGTGAGAGTAAGCCGGCCCAGACTCCAGGCACACTTCGTCAACGGAGAGTGCGTGCAGGTCCCTTACTCTCCTGATGGAGGCCAATGCAATCAGGAGTGCTGTCTACATAGGACAGGGCAAAAACTCTACCGACTGCAAAGGCTCCAGGGGAGGCCTCTGCAGAGCACTTAGATCTACTGAGAGGTCCCCAGAGGGAACGAGGGGAGGGAGGCGGTTTTAGCCTCCTTGCTCCCCTCAGGAACCTGATGACCAGGTCATGCTTCCCATAGACTTACCTTTCACTGCATCATGAGACGCGGCAATGGCGACATGAACCCTAAGGGTGGAGGGCGACAGCCTACGCTCCAACCCTTCTTGCAGGAAGAAAAGCACGACCCCGATCGAACACCTCCGGGGGTCTTCTCCGCGAGAAGAGCACCAGCTGATGAAGAGGTTCCACTTCAACGCGTAAAGGTGTCTCGTGGACGACGCTCTAGCGGAAGTGATGGTTCTCAAACTCAAACCTGTCCCGTCCCGTCCCGGAGCCACACATGTAGTCTCCAAGATCGGGACGAGGGTGCCACAGAGTGCCCCGTCTCTGAGTGAGTAGATCTAGACTGAGGCCGAACACAATCGAAAATGCGTTTGGCTGTGAGCATTTTGAACGGTAGTCGATGGAGAGTACGGTTCAAAATGCGCAGATCCAGGATCGGTCGTAACCCACCGGCCTTCTTGGGGACAGTGAAGTATGGGCTGTAAGCCCGGACCTCACCTCGGCTGGAGGGACCGTCTCGATTGCACCCTTCGCCAGCAGGGTCGCAATCTCCGCTCTCATGACCGGGGCATAGCCACCGACCACCGTGGAGCGAACTCCCCTGAACGGGGAGGAGACCTCACAAACTGAGTCGCGTAGCCGAATCTGATCGTTCTGATGACGCAGCGGGACAGGTTGAGGACCTCTAGCCAGGCTAGCGGAGGGGCAGCGGTACAGGGAGACCGGCATGCACACAGGAGTTACCCTGTGCGGATGCCCAGTCGAGCCCCGTTCCCCGACAGAAGAGACCAGGGAAGGACCAGTGTTCCACGGGGGTCTGTTCTGCCGGGGGTCTGGCGATAGAGGGGGAGGGGAGTGGTGTAGTCGAGGGACGACACATGCTCCCATCCGCACCCTCAGAGACAGAGAGGAATGAGTGGGGCGACGCATTGGACGTCGTGCGCGCTCATTCCAGTGTGTGTGCTCAATGATAGTGTCGGTTTTTCTTCAACCAGCTCAAGGCGCTGCTCACTCTTGGGTGAGCCGCGAGGTGCTAGCTAGAACAAAAGATACTCCACCGGCCCTCCACCGGGGGAAGGAGGGGCCCTGCTACCACCTCCTGAGAAAAACCACGACACTATCAGTGAGCAGCCCGTCTCAGGAACATCGCTTCGCCTGGCGTTAGCGGGGCACGCGGCCTGAGGGAGCTGAGACGCTTGCCTGTGGCCTCCTCCACGACGCGAACCGGCTGAAGGCTGCTGCTGGGGCAGCGTGGGAGGGAAGGGAGCCGCAGGGGGGCGTCCTTGGCGGCGAGCGGGCGGAGGCGTCTGAGCCGACGGCTGGGTGGAGGCAGCAGCTGGTCGTCAGGGCAGAAGTGTAAACCCGCCTCCGTCTGCTCCTAGGCGGTCAAGAAGTGCTGGGCAAAGTCCTGGACCGCACCGCCGAAACATTTAGATGATGCTCCTGGACCACAGCGGTGGACATCACCTGACCAAGGAGCGAGCGGCCGCTTCCG